ACATATTTCAGAAATATCATAAATAGCATTTCTCAGCATTAGGAGCAGATGGGGACTCTTGAGAGAGCACAGCTATCATCCATCTTGACTGTGGAGTCAGATAACTTGATTCTCTTGTGTATCATCCCACATGTTTTAATCAGGTCTAGAAATAAACAGAAGATTGATCCTTTCACCTCCTGGGCAAAACTAATCTCACAACCACTCTAAGGAGTGAGATTCATTACAACATGCTTCAGATGGGGAAACTGAGGCTCAGAGATTGGACATTACTGCGCAAGTCACAAGGGTAGTGGATGAAGGAGAAATAGATAAATAAGAACCACCTTTGTTCCCAAAATTAGTACACTAACCACTCCTTGTCTCCTAAAGCTGAAGAAAGGACCACAGGATGAGGGGACAGCTCTTCCAAAGGAACAAGGGGAACTGAGTATCAGGAATGACTCAGAGGCTTGTTCACAGGAAGGTGGAGGTGGATGCTATTGCAAGAAAAAAGAGACGTTCGTGAAGGGGACTGTGATAGAAAGAAAGCCACACTCTGGCTAAGAGAAGGGTTGCATTTCCTTCCCTTATTTCCCCGCACTTCTCTTTTGTGCTCATTGTCACAGTGACACAGCTATCTGACTGTGGAGTCAGGTATCTCTGCTGATCTGAGCACTGCTGCAGAAACTGCGTCTTCCCGAAGTTTCTCCAAGGGCCTGGGTGACCACTATCTACGGTGAGTGCCCCACAGGGAGGTGTTGATGGAAGGGCTGAGAATGAAGGAGACCCCATGGGGGAGGCTCTGAGAGGGAAGGATGTGCCTTTGGTCTCTCTCACCTCCAGCGGTCATTTCAGGATGTCTATTTGCTGCTCCATCCTGGGAACAAGGCTCCTGAGGTGGGGTTGTTCCTTTTCCTGTGGGGCTCCTAACATGATAACAAGCAGGACAAGCCTCCCAGTAGCCACACCCTGTGTGTCTGTCCATCCTGCCCGGCACCATAGTCTTCTCTATCTGCACAACGGAGACTAGAGGAAGGAGACACAATGACCCCCACCCTCATGGCCCTGCTCTGCCTCGGTGAGATTGGGGAAGAGAGGGAAGCCCTGGTCTGGGAGGGACCCCACTCACCAGCCAGGCCTCAGTCAGTCAGGAGACCCCAGGACTCAGGAGGCTCCTGGGGATGAAGGCTCTGCTGAGGAGTCAGGGGCAAATCTCTCACTCATTTACAGGACTGAGCGTGGGGCAAAGGACACGAGTGCAGGCAGGTGAGTCTGTCCCCAGGTGCCCCAGGTTCCACTCCTCACTGGGGATAAGGGGACACCCCTGGACAGCTGAGAATGGAGAACAGCCATTCTGGGCTGCCAGATGGGGGACATATGGGAGGGTTGTTACTGAGAGCAGGGAACTGGGTGTGGAGACTGTTTTGTGGCTCAGCCTCTGATTCCTTCCAGGGATCCTCCCCAAACCCACCATCTGGGCTGAGCCAGGCTCTGTGATCCTTCGGGGGAGCCCTGTGACCATCTGGTGTCGAGGGACCCTGAAGGCCCAGGAGTTCCGTGTGGATAAAGAGGGAAGCACAGCACCCTGGGACAGACAGAACCCACTGAAGACCGAGGACCACGCCAAGTTCCCCATCAGGCGCATGACAGAGCGCACTGCAGGGAGATATTACTGTTACTATTTCAGCCCTGCTGGCTGGTCAGAGCTCAGTGAACCCCTGGAGTTGGTGGTGACAGGTGAGAGGACACTCAGGGTCCAAGTCTCTGGCTGTGCCCTCAGGAAGGGGTTCTGCTCTCAGGGTGTCTCCCCCTCACATCTGGCTTTGGGGTTGTGAGGGAGGTGAGAGCCCCATTTAATATACTGCCTCCTTCTTTCCTAGGCGTCTACAGCAAACCCCACCTTTCAGCCCTGCCGAGCCCTGTCATGACATCAGGAGGGAACGTGACCCTTCTGTGTGGCTCACAGGAGGGATTTGGCAGGTTCATTCTGACTAAGGACGGAGAACACAGGCCCTTCCGGGCCCTGGCCTCACAGCAACAGCCCAGTGGAGATTTCCAGGCCCTGTTCCCTGTGGGCCCCGTGACCCCCAGCCACAGGTGGATGTTCAGATGCTATGGCTGTTACCCCTCCCGGAGGTGCTCACACCCCAGTGACACTCTAGAGCTCCTGGTCTCAGGTAAGGAAATTCCATCCTTGCCCATGAATACTTAGGGCCTGAGGAACATCCTCAGGGGAGCCCCTGGTGGGATGATGGGCCAAGGGGTCCAAAGATTCTTGGACCAGGGACACAGAAAGTGGAAACAGTGGGAGCAGGAGGCTCAGGAAGAGTGACACATCTTCACGGAGCTGCTCCAGGCTTGTCCTCCTTTTTCAGAAATCGGCTTAACTGTCACCTCCAAAGATGACCTTCACTGACAACACAGCTCAGAAAAGACCTGCCTCCTTCTTGCCTATTGAATTCTTCCCTTTGTCTATATATGCACACACACTTATCTACAGTTAGGTTACATAGATCTAGAGTTTCACTTATATATCATATCATTATATGCATATGTGTATACATATATTATATGTATAAACATTATATAATCCTTAGTTTAAAACATTTATCCATCTATCTAACTACTATATTGCATCTGGTATGGGTTTACATGGCTGCTATTGGTCTGCTTAACTACATTCATGCTCCTTCCTTCTTCAGAAAATCAGAAATACTCTCTTAATTAGTTACTGACTCAACACCAGCATTTGGAAAAATATGCCTATATTTGTGTGTGTTTATATGTATAAATGTGTCCATGTATGTATATATGTGTATATATGTAAAATATATATAAATACACCTTTTCTTAGGTATTCCTAACTACATGAAGAATTATTAGTGAGAGTTTAGATAGATGATGAAACATCAAGTGAACTGGCTGAGCTCAGATGGAAAGGCGACCCAGCCCCTAGTTTGTACCCTGTGTGCTCCTGACATCAGGAGCCCCTCACTCCAGCCTCTCCTCCCAGGACCCTGAGTCCTCAGCTGTTAAATAAGTGGATATTCTCATTTCCAAGGGATTAAGCATCATGGTCCTAAATCCCAGAGTGAACAGAGATCAGAGAGTTGCTCAACTGCATTGGAGAGAAAATTGTTCTGGTCTTGGGGAACCACCAAAATATGTCCCACTGGAACTCAGAAATGAGATCTGAACTCGCATGATACAGGAGCTGGGAGAATACAATGAGGAGCCTAGAGGGAACGTGGCTACAGCAGTGAGAGGGTTCTCTAAGGGCAACACAGAACTTATGCTGTGAGAAGTGGGATATTAGAACTGAGCACAGAGGGACAAGCTGGGCCTAGGTTCTCTCACACCTTCTTTTTATGATTCTCAGGAGCAGCTGACACCATCAGCCCATCACAAAACAAGTCAGACCCCAAGAGTGGTGAGTAGGAGAAATCCTCAGCTGTGTGGCTGGGCTCTGAGGGTCATGTTTTGTCAAGGGGAGGCGGGTGTCCTGGGTGGACATCCAGGATCCTGGGTGGTTTTGATCTGATCTGACTTCTCTGTCCACAATTCCCAGCCTCCCATCCCCAGGACTACACAGTGGGGAATCTCATCCGGATGGGTGTGGCTGGCGTGATCCTGGTGATCCTCGGGGTGCTGCTGTTTCAGGCTCCACGTGACCCGTTAAGGACCCACAATGCATCCAGGAGGTGACCACAGTAGGGAACAACACACCGTTCAGAGTGGTGCAGACTTGGGGCTCATCTGATGACCCAGGAGGTGTGAAAGAACATTTGGACCATACGTCAGGGAATTGACCCGGGGAGGAGACGTGGTTGGGACAGGAAACATGTGCGTGTCACTGTAGAGGACTCTTCCTCCATTAAACGTGGTGCTGTCTCTTCCTGCCACCGCTGACTCTCCTTGACTGACTGCCCTTCAGTTCTCAACCTGTGATGTGAGGGTCCATCCCACATGGCAGGTTTGGAACCACATCTATACACACCCTCATCCTGGACAGCTTTCATATAAACAGAAGCTGGTGTCTCCATAACACTTTTATCCAGCCATGAAGAACAAAGCACTGGTACCTGCTACAATGTGGGTGAACATCGAAAACATGTAGCTACCTAACAGAAGACAGACAGAAACGATCACATTTTGTGTGATTCCATTTATAGAAATTATCCAAAAGGAAATCACTGAAACAGGAAGCAGACTCAGGGGCTCAATGGGAGGATAAAATGGAGACTTACTACCTTGCAGTTTCTTCTGGGGTCATGAAAACCTCTTGGAACTAATAGAAGTGGTGGTGCAACATCGTGAATTTACAAAATTCCAGTTCATTGTATACATTAAAAGGGTTGACATTATGTTATGTGGATTTTACATCAATAAAAGAAATGCAACTAAAAAGGACATGACTCCCTATAGATCCCTATACCTTAGAAGTTGCACCAGGTCCTCGATAAGTTTTATGGCAGGCAGGACTCTCACCAGGTCAGAGATTCCCTAAATGCCTTAGTGCTTAGCAATTAACTCAATGGTCAAATTTTCACCTTCACTATTTTAAAAAATATTTTTATTAAAATATAGCTACATACAATATTATATTAGTTTCAGGTGTCTGCCATAGTTATTCAACATTTATATATCTAAAAGAGCAATCACCATGATAAAAGTCCAGCAACCACCTGACACCATGCCATGCTATCACAATATTATTGAGTGTATTCCCTACACTGTACATTACATCCCCATGACTTAGTTTTCTTATACCTGTAAATATGAACCTCTTATTCCCTTACACCTCCTCCCCTTTTTAAAAATTTTCAATTACTGTTGACATTCAATATTACTTTATATGTTTCAGGTGTACAGCATAGTGGTTAGACATTTATATATTCTAAGAAGTGACTCCCCCTGACTAGTCTTATACCCACCTGGCACTATATGTAGTTATCACCATATTATTGACTATATTCCCAATGCTTTATTTTACACCCCATGACTATTTTGTAAGTATTATTTGATAATTTTTTTAAAAAACATTTGTTTTCAATCACATTTTAACTTGCTTATAGTAATTGCTTATTAATAACTAAATAGCATTTAACACCATAATTGCACTAGATATTTTATATTCTTTTTATGTATTTTTCTATTTATTTATTTTAGTAGTTTCAGGTGTAAAAACCAACATGATTATTAGATATTTACACCCCTCACAAAGTGATAACCCCCTGAGTCTACTACCCCTTTGACATCATACATAACTATTGCAGTACTGTTGACTATATTCTCTATGCTGTACTTTCCATCCTGTGACTGTACACACGAGGTTGGACAATTAAGTTCGTGAACTCACCCTAGAAAAAGTACTACATACTTCATTGCTGAATATCACTATGGTCACCTTCAAAGTACTCCCCTTGAGAAGCTATGCACTGACGCCAGCGCCTAGTCCACCCTTCAAAGCATTCTTTCTGGAATGGCCATCAGAGCTGTTATCATATTATCCTTGATGTTCTGAATGTCATCAAAATGTCTTCCGTTCAATATTTCCTTTATTTTCGAGTAAAGAAAGAAGTCATTGGGGGTCAGATCAGGTGAGCAGAGAGGGTGTTCCAATACAGTTATTTGTTTAGGGGTTAAACTCTCCCTCACTGACAGTGCCGTGTGAGCTGGTGCATTGTTGTGCAATGATGCAAGAACCATGAATTGTTAGTGAAAAGCTCAGGTTGTTTTAGTCTAACTTTTTCATGTAGCCTTTTTAGCACTTCCAAATAGTAAATTTCGATAACTGTTTGTCTGTTGGTACAAATTCATAATGCATAATCCCTCTGATATCAAAAAAGCTTAGCAACATTGTTGCAACAAGTTCACAAACTTAATTGTCAGACTGTGTGTGTGTGTGTGTGTGTGCGCGCGCGTGTGTGTGTGTTTAGTTAGTGTTGACATTCAATATGATTTTATATTAGTTTCAGGTGTACAGCATAGTGGTTAGGTGTTTATATAATCTATGAAGTGATTCCCCTAAGTCCAGTACCCATCTGACACCCTACATAGTCTTTCCAACATTATTGATTATTCTCCCCATGCTGTATTTCACATTCCTGTGACTATTTTGTGACTACCAATTT